GTCGTTATATTTACCTTTGCCTTAGTTGTACATTAATTTAATACGGCGGGATTTTGTATTTTACCGCCGTGGATTTATTTGTAATTATACGGCGCCTTATACGAAAACTTGGTCGTGTTAATTTCCGGGTAAAAACGACGGCTTTTTTTGAAACCGTCGTCTTTACTTTCTACGTCGGTCAGTTCATAACTTCCGCTGTTATTTGTCGGCTTCGATTTTACCTCTTGAAAATCCTATTTCAATAAGACGTCGATTTTTAAATTAAGTACGTCGTGTTTTATGAACAGCCATTTGAAACTCCATTTTTTAGTTGTCTAATGTGTTATTACACGGCGGTTTTATAAAACCGTCGTCTTTTAAAAAACAACGACGGTTTTCACTTAGACCGTCGTGTTTTTCTGGTCGTCTTTTTCACTTTTTGTAGTAGTGGTTGATCGTATTGCACCCAGGTTGTGTAAGCAGGATTGGTAGTTGTACTTCCAGAAATCTGCTGGGAAGGACAAACAATGGTTCCATCAACATAACTCATCAGGTCCCGACTTCTGAGAATAGGTAAGATTTGAGCCAACCACAAAGGATAATTGGTACGATCCAGCTTAATGTTTACAACTGAGGTCAAGGAAGAGAAGGGGTGCATGGTGGAATTTGGGAGAGTGGTGTTGATAGTGTGGGTGGAGTCACTGTTGCTAGAGTCGGCCATGGAAGCAGAGAGAAAAAAAAAAATTGGATCTGTGTCGTTAGACTGCTAGGGCTTTGATACCATGTAAGACTTAGAAAAGGATGTGTGATCTCAATTGCATTACCCAATCAGTAAGGGCTGCATGTATTTATACTTCATTCAAGATTACATCAGGGAACTGAAATCCCTATTTACAAGGCTATTTGAAAAACACTACAACAGAAACAGCACACTAAGATTTACACGGAATGAAATATTTAAAAGAGTCTTAACCAAAACTAACTCTTGGTGGATAACAAGTTGACTTGATCACAAACTCTTGAAACCGTAGGCAGAGTAGGACTTGGTCTAACAAGATCTTGGAGAGGTGGAGCCTATCGAGCGACGACGTTTTCATACCACATTGTGTACTTAGAGAGGTGGAGCCTCTCGAGCGACGAGGTCGGTTGCTAAAACAGGTTTTGTAATATTGTTTATTTTTATGGGTTTGGATCTTAAGCAATAGTATTAAATGGGTTTGGGGTAGTGAAATGTTTGGGTGAAAAAGGCTATACAGGCCTAAAAAAATATAAAGAATGAAAAAAGAAAGCCCAAAATCCTACACTGTCAATGAGGAACTATTAGAAATCAGTGTAGGTGCTTCAAATTGCCTTTCTTATCAAGCTAATGGTGGTGCACTCCATGTGTTTGACAGAACCAACGCAGCGTGCAAAATGTTTTTTGAAAAAATTCTGGCCAAAAAGACATCGTTTTGGGCCGGACAAAGAAAAAAGAGGAGGAAATCAAATTCATGCTCTTTCAACAAGGCTTGCATTTTGTGGGCTAAACAAGGAATTCTTTCTTAAAGCAATTCTTTCTGTGAGCTTTTTAAACAACAATTCTTTTAAAAAGGTAGTCATTTCGTGGGCTTTAAGCTATTATAATTTTTTTTTTTTTTGGTATGAGATTTTCAGAAATCTCGTTAGCAACAATTGTAGGTTAATTGTAATTCTATTTTTTCGTATGACTTATGAACGACATTGGCATTGTTAAATTATAAGGATATTTGGTTGATAAATTTTTTATATAAAGCTTATATCCTTTCAAAATTGCAGCTCCGCTAATGTACACTATATTTATAATTTTCAATTTTTGTTTATTAAAAATTTGTTTTTGTTATTGAAAAAAATATATATATTATAGTTATTACTTTATATTTTTAATTGCCGTATCCATGATCTATCATATTCTAGTTTGAAGATTTGCCGTGTCGTATCATGTTGCAATATATTGGTGGTCTTCAGTCAAATGAATGGTTTATGGGCATGTATTGAATGTTCTGATGACACATGTTGGAAGAGGAGGGAACCTCTTGGTAGCATGTTGTTGGCTGCTCGCTCGTATGGATGGAGAAATATGACCTTGTGAAAGAAAGAAACGATGGTTATGGATGACATAAGACAGGTGCAACGGATTTATGTTTACCTGTAAACATTTGTGATAAGCTGTTCCAGGCATGTCCAAAGGAAAGGAGATCAATCAATCCTTGTATGAATGCAACAAAGTTGTCCCTTCAATTCTCCGAGGAATTTTTCGAATAATAGCTGATCAATCCTTGTCGGAACACAAAGTAATTCAGATCCGGTTCTTCTATTTTTGATGAAACTGAAAGGAGGATTATCAGAAGAGGTGTTGGGAGTGAAGAACTGCAAGGTCTCCTCTAGAAATGGCAATCCCATTGAACCTGGTTGAAGTTTTGCCATGGCATTTGGAATTTCTCCACCTGTAAACCCAATGTGTCATGCTTTTAATAGCTAATGCTGCCCTGCACAGAACCCACATTTTTGCCATACTATCATTCCAAGTTCAGAGGAGATCTTTTACTAAAGAAAGAACTTTTATGTTAGAAGAGGAGAAGGAAGTAAGGCTGGCATGTCTCTGAAAACTCATTAGAATATGTTGGATATTCTATGAATTCCTTTACCTCGTCTCTTTTTCTGCTTCCACCTTTACATGGAGATAATTACACATTGAGAAAGATCAAGGTAGAAGCATGAAACTTTGTATTGTATGCCCATATTCGTTTATTTATTTTTTGCTTTATTAAATTGCATAATACATTTCACAATAGTAGTTTGAACCCAGGACACATTTATGGTGTGTTTACTAATCAAGAATTGAGATTCTCATCATGAATTGAATTCCACCTATGGAGGAATCCTGTGTTTACTGGGGCTCACACAAAATCAGGAATTGAATTCCTGATTTTGGAGAAATCTAATTCTTGAATGGGAAGTGGTATTCTACTACCTGGAGAACTAATTCATTAGGAATTCATCTTTTTTACCCATTATATCCTCACATAATTTCCAAAATTCCAAATTTGTCATCTACTTTAACTCAACAACGAGGACATTTAGTAATTAGTATCACTTGTATCCCAATTCCATATGATTTAGTAAACAACTTCAATAGGAATCCGGAATCTTAACTCTCTTCAATCCATGGTTTAGGAAACTACTTCAATAGGAATACGAAATCTAATTTTCCTCAATCCAATTCCTCCTCAATTCAATTCATCCTCAATTCAATTCCTCATAATCTAATTATGGATTAGTAAACATGTCATTAGAGGAATTCCAAATCCTAATACCATCTCCAACCATATTGGGACTAAACTCAAATTTTCACCCCTCCAAAATACAACTATTCATGTATTTTTAGTTAAACTGTTTTTTCCTCAAACCTTGCAGACTTATAATTTGAGTCCGCAATTTTATTGATATTATTTTTGTTTAAAACTTCGTGATTTAATTTTATGAACATTTTAACCTAAAAAAATTGAAATTTCATAAACATAATATTTTTTCACTTAAAATCAAGCTCAAATTGATTAAAACATTGGTTTATTGTTATTATTTTTATTATTTTTATTAAGATGCAGCATTGGTTTAAAAAGCAAAAAGTGAACAAGCTTTTTCAAAGAGAGTTGTTGGCCTTTGATGTGAGCCTTCCATGTGTTGGAATGAAGGAGAGGAATGGTGGACAAAAATCTTTCAAGCAGACCCACTCTGCATTTCCTTCATGTGGCCTTGATTGCGGGCATGTTGGGCTCCACAAAAATTAACAGTCTAGGCAATATGCAAAGTGGAATTCTTGTCATAAAAAAGAAAAAAGAAAAAAAAAAAGAAAGTGGAATTCTGTCCAGGATATTGCATGTCCCAAATTTCTACAGCCCAAATACATGGTTGGAGATGGAATTTGGATTCAAATGTCAAAATTTCAGTTTCCACCCCATAGTTGGAGATGGTCTAATCAATCCAACTGTCCCCTATGGGACTATGTTGGTCTTTGTTTGTAGACAGACCATTTCTTATTATAGAAAATATTCCAACTGAGAGAAGGGCAAGCTTAATGTTCCATGTTTTCAAAATAAAAGCACATCTGAGTAGAAATTTCTTGTTCAAGTATCATGTGAATGAAGTAATTTCTAACACTAACAATTGTGTTATATGTGTAACCAAAACTCATAACAGGAAGTACAAGTATGAAGAAAAAAAACAGAGATGGGAAAATGTAAATAGAGTGAGTGAGGAAAATAACCAAAATAAACAACTTAAACATTGTGAAACCAAATCTATTACATTAAACAGACGTGGTTAAACAAGTTGCATGTGTGCTTGCGCCCATATATACAGTAACTTAGACAATCGCTTGTACATAAACAAGTCTAGTACAACAAATGTGTCGAATTGACTGAGGAATTAATAAGGTAACTTTTGACCCAAAAAAAAGAAAAAGATAACTAAACTATCTAGCTAGTTACAATTCTGATCACAATTGCAAATTGAGGAAATTAACCATGAAATCTCAATCAAATTCAACAATCTAGACCCACCAAATTGATCAAACCTTTCAAGAACAGAAAACATGAACATGGACCCAATAAAGCCCAATTTCATCCTTCTCCTTCAAGCCCCATTGAGAATAACTCGGACGACCCCGAAAGCTTGAAATTCATTGTCACGTGGGTGTTTTACACGTGGCCTTGCCCTCCTCTTTACCTCCTCCGAGAGTTTCAAATCAGCGAGAAAGCCAAGAAAAGGAGCCAATGAAGACAAGGAGCTCTATTTTCTCCCGCACAGTACGCCTACAAATTGCCGTCCATGGACGGCCAAAATTCCCCATATTCGTCTGTACTCCCTTATCTCTCTGGCTTATTCTTTCTTCCTTTTTCCCTTCTTCTACTTCTTCTTGCTCTCTGCTTTGCGCTGCTCTGCTCCAACCCATTACTCAATCACCAGCTCAAAGAAAACCAAGACTGGTCTAGACCCACAAGCCAATGGGCTGTGTTCAGGCCAAGCCTCTCACGAATTCCACACCTGGGGGCTTAGAGAAGCTGAAACTGGAAAATGGGTATGTGGGAAATGGCGGGTTTAATGCTCACAGAAGATCAACAGGCCAACCACAAAGGGACTCTGTTAAGCAGCATAGGCATGAACCCATCATTTCAAATGCTGAGCCTGGTAGTAGAAATGAAAAAGCAGGAGATGAATGGGTGGTGTTAACTGGTAGTGATGGAGATAAAGATGATGGGCATGTTTCTCATAAAGTTTCTGTTGATGAGGAGGAGTTGGTGGATGGGTGGCCTAAATGGCTCACTGATAATATTTCAAGAGAGATTTTGGCTGGCTTGGTTCCCAAGAGTGCTGACTCTTATGACAAGCTGGACAAGGTTTTATTTTCATAATCACTTTCAGATTTTTATGTTGATTTGGTGTGCATTTGGTTAGAATTATAATTGTTATGTGGCAGTTGTCAAAAAGAAAAGAAAATGGTAATTGGCATGTTATATGGCTGCTTTTCTGTACTAATTGGAATTAATATTGTTCTGATGGTTTGCTACATGATATCTTGATTGGTTTTTGGATGTAATAACAAGCTAAGTATGCTGGACTACTGAAAATTTTGAGTGTTCTCTTGTTCAATTTGTGGGTGCCCATATTTCCAAGTCACTGAAAGTTTTAGATATAAAATCTTGATTTGGCTGTTTTTTCCGACTAATCTTGTTAATCAAAGAAAGCATAAATTTATTAGTTGGTTAGATCATTGTTGAGAGGAGGCTGGAATTTGAACTTGGTTTTTCTTTTTTCTTTCTAAATGTTTGCACTTGTAGGTGGGCGAAGGAACATACAGCAATGTGTATAAGGCTCGAGATAGGGACACTGGAAAAATTGTGGCCTTAAAGAAGGTTCGGTTTGATACATCAGAACCCGAGAGTGTTAAGTTTATGGCTCGGGAGATTATGTTTTTAAGGAAATTAGATCATCCCAATGTGGTTAAGCTCGAAGGATTGGCCACGTCAAGAATGCAGTACAGCCTCTATCTTGTTTTTGATTTCATGCGTTCAGATTTGGCAAGAATTATTTCCAGCCCTGAAGGGCTTACTGAACCACAGGTTTAAGTTCTCTCTTAACTCGTTGGTTCTGTATTTGGATGCTTTGATTTGTTGTAGAGTCTCAGTTTCTAACTTGAACTATTGACACAGGTCAAGTGCTATATGCATCAACTACTTTCAGGTCTGCAGCACTGCCATGAGAGGGGAATTATACATCGAGACATCAAAGGATCAAACCTATTGATAGATAAAAATGGAATGCTGAAAATTGCAGATTTTGGGCTTGCAAATTATTATGTTCAAGATCCTAAGCGCCCTCTCACAAACCGAGTTGTGACACTTTGGTACAGAGCTCCTGAGCTGTTGTTAGGTTCTACAGATTATGGAGTTGGCATTGATCTTTGGAGTGCTGGTTGCGTCTTGGCTGAAATGTTTACAGGGAGACCACTTCTGCCTGGTAGAACAGAGGTAATTTAATATTGTGTGTGTGTGTGTGTGTGTATGTTATGGTCTTACTATCGCTGGCTAGTATCTCAAACACATTTTACTTGCTTTCAGGTTGAGCAACTTCATAGGATATTCAGGCTTTGTGGTACACCATCAGAGGAATACTGGAAAAGACTAAAGCTGTCTACAACTTTTAGACCTCCACGTTCATACAAACCCAGTCTTCAAGAAGCTTTCAAGGATTTCCCTTTTTCTTCTTTGAGTCTGTTGAGCACTCTCCTTGCTTTAGATCCTGCCTATCGTGGCTCTGCTTCTTCGGCTCTCAGAAATGAAGTAAGTACAGATTGAAATTTTTTCTCTTTCAATGAAGTTTTTATTCCAACTACATTCTGTTCCTGGAACATACGTTCCTTTTGATTGCGAGCAATGTTTTTGCATCCATTTTTTTTTTCTTCACATATTCTTAAGTCTCTAATAAATAATAATGACCAAAATACTTTCATTTGTTTATTAATTACTGCACTTTTTGCAAAATGTTTTGCTAACCCTGATGTATGTTTTCCTGTTTTTTTAACTTTATTGTTCTTAGTATTTTCTTCTAGCTGATATAGTTGAGGAGTTACAAACACATAAAGTTAATCCACTACGTTCAGAATTGATCCACTGAAAAGTTGCACCTATTTGAAAATCATCTCTTTCAATTTAGCTCTTTTCCTCCTTAATTTTTAAGCATCCATGCCAGGTAGTATGAATTCTAATTTTTTCTGGTGTTGAATTCGTCTTGCAAGTGCTCATGTGACGCACGAATTAATTGGTGAATATTGTATACTAAAAAGTAGGTCTGCTTACAGTTCTTTTTCACAAGCCCCTTGGCATGTGACCTTTCTGGTCTACCTGCAATCTACAATGAGGATGATGAACTGAAACTAGCCAAAGAGCATAGAAAGTAAGTCGACACTTTTCTCTCTTTAGATATACAATGAACGTATCTAACAGCATGACATAAACATCATGTTAATTGGTTAGTGAACTTGGTTTTCCTCCTGCTTCCATTCATTTATGTCTTTAATGGATTCAATTGTATGGTAGATTGGGGTTTCATGAGTTACAGGCTCACAAAGGCATGATCCTGGTGTCCTAAACTCATGAATACTCACACACAAACATGCTCTTGCAAGTAGAAGAAGTACTTAAAAAAGTAGTTAATCCTGGACTATTCACTCCATGGTTAAAACCTTAGCCCTAAATAACCAAAGATTAAAACACTATCGTTTAGAGTTTGAATGCTATCCGTACTCCATACGAAGAGATCTAGTGGCCTAAGCTTAGCTTCTTGTTTTAACAACGTACTAAAGCATGTATTAGCCTATATGGTTGACAGATGGAGATAACAAAGGGAGCTATTTACAATTTAGCACAATTTGAGGGGATATTACAACTGACCCAGGAGATGTAAGGGAAGAGCATGTATTAACCTATGTGCATGAAAACCCTGCAACCATTAAGCTAACAAAGGGAAATTATATTTATAATCAACTTGATATTTAGATTTATTACTGACTGGACTCAGGTAGTACCTTGTAAAAAGTTTAGGCGATGGCTACCACTTATTATTTCGGTACCGATATATGTTGCACTTATGTACTTGGAAAATAATTTCCTAATGTGAGGATTTAATGTCTAGTTCATTGCTTGAGGTATCTGATTATTTTTCTCATTTTAACAGGTCTAGGAATTCTAAAGTAAGACGGTCTCGAACACAACGAGAGCGCCGGAGACAAGATCTATCTGCTGAAAAATTAAAAGAAATTTCTGCATCTTCAAACCAGGTAAATGCACGTCCTTACTTTCAGCTTTCCGGGCATGTCTTGTCTTATGGCGCATGAACAATTTTCATAATTAACTAAGATTAGCCAACCGCTCATTTAAGGGGAAGGGAAAAGAGAGAATTTTAAAGAAAGGAAGAAAAAACAACTATTGCTGTGGGAAAACCTCCTCTAGCTCTTTCTCACCTATAGTGCTGTAAGGCACACCTTTCTTATTCTGAAACATAGAGATGGCCTCTTTTTCCACTGGAAAAGCAAAAGGGCAAGTTACTCTATTGCATGTAATATTCTTTCTTGGTTACTAAAGATTAAGTACTATGTAAATAGGGTCTTCAGGAGATGGAGAAAACTGCTGATTCAAATTTCGAAAGTGAAGAGCCAGGTAGCACTACCAGTAGCAACTCCTCTAGTGTACATCATGCAGGCCGGAAAGAAAGTCCGATATTCTCCCCTTGCCCAGTTCAAGGCCATCCCGATACCACTAAGAACATGAAGAACCTACCTCCATTACCCAAGTCTAAAGCGCGCACCACCAAGTATAACAAAGACGGTAACATGTACAGTTCAAATCAGATTAGCAGGTCTGCATCCAGTAGAGAATTCAGAAAGTTAAATCAAAGGGACCAATTAGAAGTCTATGCTGTTGATAACTAGGCCACATGAGATGACCATGTAGAGCTGAACCGTATCTTTTTTGTTCTATTCTTATTTTCCTCTACTGGGTATTGTTGACCAACATGAATTATCATGAATTGGGTATTTTTATAATGCAATAGTGATCCGCTCTGTGTTTGATATGTTGCTTTTAGTGAGGCTGCTGAGGATAAAAAAGAAAATCAAAGCTAAAAATGCATTTCTTCTTTTAGGGGATTAATTTTGTTGTGACATTTGCAGTGATCCCGAGTCAAGGCAATTTGATCCACCCGTAAATTATTATTATTATTTTTCAATTTCTGACAATTTATTCCAAGTGAAATGTTGACATCCATTTGTGGCATGATATATGGTTGCATATAATGATTTGTCATGCGTACCACTCATATTTACTCATTCATTTCAATTTTCATGCATATGTCAAACCCTTTTTTTGTTTTTTTGGGTAGGCTGTAGTACTCTTACTAGTTCTTACCATTGATGGACAACATTCCTAGTATGTGAAAATTGAGAGTTGTCATCAGTCATTGAAGTGAAATCTCACCGATTCAACCTATGAGCTCCTATAGTAACTAGCTTTTGATTTAGTAGTATTTTTTTTTCTATGTTGAAAGAGATTTCAAGTTAAATTCTCCATTGTCATTGATTTTTTTTTATATAAAAAAAAAAAAAAAAAAATAGCGCCAGGGAGCTCTTGATGCTTTCGTTTCACAAATTGCAACATAATCTTCTTTCATGTGTAAGCAATTTGTTGAGGCCCAAAAAATCCAAGGCTAGGCCCAAATACATTTTCGGCCCAGTACTATTCAAGCAACATGTCACGCTACAAGCTTAAGTGGGCCCAAGTCACGCGAATGCCTGGAGCTTGTTGAGTGGGTTGTGGTATGGATGGTTACGAGTATTCACGAGGCCCATTGATGGTCCAAGGAGTGGAAGTTTTGGGCTACTTGGGAGCACCAAAACTCAAGCTCATTCCTTGAGTCCGAACATATGGGGAAGCATGAGAGAAAACCCAATAACCCATCACCTTAAGAAAAGGCCCAAACATCTTAGAAAAATATCTAATAGCCATAGCCCATAAAAAATCCCACATCAGCCAAAGCTTCCAGCAGTCTGACGAAATCAAAGGGAACTCAAAAACCGCTGGAAGCAAAACAACCCAACCCAGCACCTTATAAAATATCCAACATCGTGCATCTCTGTTAAAACCAGATCGCAGCCAAACCACCAAAACCAAGCCATGTGCTGATCACTTTTTTGACCAAGCACCCTTACCCATTCTTTCCTCTTCAAGCTTTGGTGAGAAAACAAGAAACAAAAGTGGGTGGCTCCTCACCCACATGGAGAAGTCCTGCTGCCCGAGGACCTTGGAACTCCAAAAAGCTTCATGCCTACATGCTTAGGCTAGGGAAGTTTCACCAAATAGGATGGAATGGAAGAAAGTGAAGGAAAAGAGGAGAGGGTGGTTTGATAAAATTAAGGTTTCCAGCACCTATAAAATGAAGCACTTTCTTCCCAGCAAGGACACACACAACAAACCGATCGAAGGCAAGCATCCCCTCTGGAATCCTTCAATTTCATGCTTTGTTCTTCCATCTTCTTCCTCTCTTTCCATAAACACACATCCAGAGAGCAAGCATCATCTCTCATCCCTGAAACCCCTGCAATTTCGAGCCTTACTCCTCCATCTCTCCCCATTTTCTCTTCTGTCGTGCAACCCAGGAATCTGTTAAAGCCCCCCATGCTTCTATCTTCTTACTCTCTTTCCGATCGAAGGGAAGCAACCATATCCAGAGAGAGCAAGCATCACCTCTCATCTCTGGAACCCTTCGATTTCAAGCATTGTTCTTTCATTACTTCTCTTTTTCTCCTATGCAAGCCAATACAGAGCCTGACGAAGCTTTCATCAAGCTGCTGGAAAATTACCCCAAAGCACCTGTTCATCCACCATAGTTTGTCTTTCTCTATCTCCTCAGCAAATCCTCATGAAATCATTACTTCAAGCCTCTGTTCCTCATAGGAAACCCAAGCCTTCTCTCTCTCATGCTAAACTCACGAATGCTCAGCTCCCATGCCACAAGTTTATCATGCCAAGCCAAGAATTTATCTGTAAGCGACTGTTGGTTTCATTGGTGAAGAAGACCAAAGTGCTTCCTAAGGCTTAGCTGCCCTTTCGAAACAATCTTGGGGCCTGATCTTTGAATTCAGACTCAAGGAGCAATTTCACCTGTTTATCTTTTCGACAGCCCAAGCCCATTCGTCAGGCTGTTGAAATAAAAAGACCCCTACACAATTAACTACTGAAGGAATGTTTTGACATATTCTTTATATTTTAATAAATATATATCATCCGAGTTGGCTAGAGCAGATGTGCTCCCCACTCTGGATTTTAACAGTCTGCAGACAACCGTATTAGAGAAAAATTATATATATATATATATATATCTTCAGACCAAGAAAATGTAAGCAATTAACTACTATGTTTAAAATAATACAAATTTATAAATAAACCCAATCCTAGACATGTATTTATAAAAAAAACCCAAACACTATTTAAACATAGAAACACACCCAAAATCAACCCCAAAGTCAACTTTTTGGGTGTGTTTATAAATGGGTTTTGAGTGTGTGTAATGATGGGTTTTGCGTGTGTTTATATGTTTAAATAGTGCTTGAGTTTTTTTTATAATTTTAACCCCCATTTTGGGTGTTTTAGTGAAACTCCCTTAAAATAACTAGGCTATACAAAATTCTAGCCAGATGACATGTGGCGGCACATGGTGCTGAGGACTCAAGATCAAATTGGCAGTCTAAAAAAAATAATATCTACATAGTCTAAATTTTTAGGAGTTTGGTTAGTATTATTTAAACCCTTTTTTTTATTTAAAAAAAGACAACTTATATTTTGGGGACAAAGTTTTTAACTAAAGGGTCTTGCATACTAGTGATATCAGGTTCTAACATTGTATGTGAGAAACACAGACACAAAAATAAAAAAACACAAAGACAGATACTTTTCAACACACAGACAGATACTTTTCAACACACGGAAACATTGAAGTGAGTAGCGCGATTTTAGGGTCAATGTCCTCATCATCCGATTTTGATGAAGAAATTGTATTGATAGACATACATTCATTTTCATAATAATATTGATGTGATCATTATAATAGTTTTATTGCCAAGTCTTTCTGGTCGTTGATTCTAGAAGTAGAGCCAAAAATTCTTAGAGAACTGCCAACGACCTAGTTCTTGTTTAGATTCAAGTCAAGCTGCGCGTATTGTTGGGATTTTGTTATGTTTATATACACACACCTTAGTTTCCATGCAAAATATCCGATTAATAAAAAAAAATGATCCTTTTCTACTTTCTCTCCTCCATGCTTATTGTTAGCTTCCCCACTGAAGCTGCATACAGCGGCCATAACTGCTCAACTTTGGCTGGCAACTCCACCTCCACCTTTAAATCCAATCTTAACCAGCTCCTCTCAACCCTTTCATCCAACTCCAACCGCAACGACACCGCAGGCTTCTACAACGCCACAGTCGGCACCGCCTACGGCCTCTTCCTCTGCCGTCGTGATGTGTCTGCCCGTGTCTGCGAAGAATGCGTGGCCAACGCAACCTCGGAGGCGCTCCTACGCTGTCCCGACAACCAACAGGCCGTGGTTTGGTACGACGACTGCATGCTACGCTACTCAAACCAGCCCTTCTATTCTGAGGCTGCCACGTCTCCTAATATGACAGCCTGGAGCCCGCGGGATTTGACAAAGTACGTGGCGGAACCAGCTGAGTTTAACGATGTGCTGGTTACGACTTTGGACAACTTGGTCCCCAAGGCAGCCAACGCCACCGACAAGTTTGCGACGGAAAAAGCAACTATTACGGCAGACCTGATTTTGTATACGGTGTACAGCCTCGGGCAGTGCACGCAGGACCTGTCTGCCGCGGATTGCAATGCCTGCCTCCGGGAAGGGGCGACGCAGTTGGTGATGAGTAAGCAAGGAGGACGAGTTCTATATCCAAGTTGTAATGTTAGGTTCGAATTGTACCCCTTCTACCAAGAGGTGACAAGTACCACAAAACCATCGCTTGCACCCGAGCCATCACTCCCTGCTCCACCCGCCTTGCCTCCATCGCTGCCACCTCCGCCATCTGCGCCTCTGTCGACCAGACCTGGTAAATATTCTATTACAACTAAATGTTTTATTATATATGGATTGATATGAACATTTTGTTTTTACTACATCGACTTATTATCTTACTAATAAGTCTTTTTTTTTTTTTTTAAAAAAAAAATTAACAAGGGAAGATTAGAACATAAATCTAGACTAAAAGCTAGTTGGCTAAAAAAACATAAATCTGATCGAAGGAAAAAGAAAAAGACTTGCAATTGTTAGAGGGGAATTAATAAATGTTTTGGCAATCTTCCTTTGGCACTTTTCTTCTTGTTCATACAGGACGAAGCAAAGTCACATTCATAATCATCGCTAGTACTCTTGGTCCTGTTTCTTTCTGTGTGTTCGTTGTAATTGTGGCCGGATGCTTCTTTCCCAAGAGACTGAGAAGAGTCAGAGAGAAATACCAAGCCAAAAAACAACAGAAAAAAGGTAAAAACTGAATAAAATATTTAGTCAAGTCTTGGAACCCAAGAGATCATTAATTCCTTCGTTTTCTTAAGACCTTTTCTAGTACATCTAATCACTTGGAAAACTCATATTTGGTTAGTTGGAAATGATATGAAGACTGTTGAGTCCTTGCAATTTGATTTGGGAACTATTGAAACTGCCACAAACAAGTTTTCAGACAACAACAAATTAGGTGAAGGAGGATTTGGTGCAGTTTTCAAGGTATGAAGATACCTCTTTGCATGTAGAGAGAACTTTTTACTATGTACTTTATTAGAAATTCTTAGCTTGAAGATCATGTAGTTCTGACTTAAGGTGATCTAAGAATGGAAATGATTTACTATAACCTTGTAGGGAACACTTGGTAACGGA